TAGAGCAAAGATCAGGAGGGAATTCAACAGAAGGATCCCTCGTTGAAAGGAAAATGGTGAAAGAAGGTGACAAGTCATTCTCCTGATCTCCAAGAGTTATAAGAACTCGTCCTCCAGTCTTCTTTACTTCTCTAGTGAGCACAGGGTTCAGGATTGGGTCATAGCTCTCAACGTCCTAGAGGGATTGAGTATGAAATAATGAGAGTGTTTCCTGACAGGGTTCTTAGCTCTAAAAAAATCCGAAAATATTCCCACACTTTTAGAAAAATTTCAGAAAAAGTTCCAAAAATAAAAATAAAATAATTCAAAAATATTTCCATGATCTCATAAAAAATCAGAAAAAAACTCGAAAAATAAAACAAAAATAATCCAAAAATATTATAACACTCATAATAAAAAATTTCAAAAAATTACAAAAATTAAATAAAAAAATATAAAAATATTCTTAGGCTGCTGGAAAAAAATCAAAAAATTCGAAAAATAATATAAAAAAAATCCGAAAATATTTCCACACTCATGACTAAAAAATCTGAAAAAATTCCATAAATTAAATTTAAGAAGCTAAAAATAATTTTTATTCCCATGCTCTCTAAAAAAATCAGAAAAAATTTCAAAAAATAATTCGAAAATATTCCCACGCTGCCAAAAAAATCAGAAAAAATTCGAAAAATATAATAAAACTATTCTGAAAATATTTCCATGCATGGAGAAAAAATCAGAAAAAATTCCAAAAATAAAATAAAAAGAATCCAAAAATATTCCCACGCTCTCGGAAAAAATAAGAAAAAATTAACTCAAACTTTATACACAACATAAGGACAAGTATATGTATCAGAAAATATTACAAAAACTGAGAATTCTCTACTTGAAATTTTTGGCAAAATTTGGTTGACACCCCTGTACTATAGTACAGGGACTTTGACCTGATTTTGGAGCAACTTAAAAATTCATATAAAATCCAAATTTGATCAGAATCAGCTCAAACTTTCTACACAACATAAGAACTTTTATATGCATCAGAAAATGTTATAAAAATCGAGAATTCTCTACTTGACATTTTGGCAAAATTTGGCCGGGGGACTTTGACCTGATTTTTAAGCAAATTTAAAAATTCATAAAAAAACCAATTTTGATCGGAATCAGCTTAAACATGCTACACAACATAAGTACAATGTACATGTATATGCATCAGAAAATATTATAAAAACTAAGATTTCTCTCTTTTTCAAATTTGGCAAAATTTGGCCAACACTCCTGTACTAGTACAGCCTTGTGTAGCCAGACCCCACTTCTTTTCTATTACTTAAACGGTTAAAGTGCATGTATACATGCATCAGGAAAGGTATGCTGGTATTAAAAAAGAAAATTCATAAATTTACCTTTTTTCTGGTCTTGGTCACTCAGTGTTCTTTCTTTATTAAATTTCTTTACTAAGCCACGCCCAAAGTTCATTCCCACGCAGTCCACGTGATACCACGTGTGTAAAATGGTGTCTAACTGATTGTGTAAAGAAAACTTTTATACCCCAACTAGTCATGATTATGACATTACTGTCCCTATTGTGTTTTGGGGCCATCATCCTCCAGTATACGATATTACCTGTATGACCAGGTACAGAGCTTTGGATTTTGATACTGACTATTATACTGTGTATTTAATAGGACAGAGGAGGATAAAGGAGGAGCTACTGCCTACTGGTACTGAAACGGGGCAGATTTGTATCTTGAACTTATATGGGAAGAGAATCAACGGAGAATTTGTGGTTATTACTATCACTTAAAAGCCGTAATGTATCATTTTATTTCTTATTAATTCACATCTTTTTCTAGTTATGGAGAATTTGTGGTTAGACCAATTATCACTATCACTTAAGAGCCTTTATGTATCATTTTAATTAATGCGCACCACAATTTCCAATTAATATCCATCTTTTTCTAGTTATGTTCGAGACTATTATTACTAGGAATGCAGTCTGGAGACAGGGACAGGATTGTCAGTCTTAGTAAAAATGGGTGCATTGATGTGGTGGGGGTGTGGCTAGTTATTAATGTTATATTGATAGTTGCATAGCATTGTGGGATGGTAAAGATTGGACGTATCTTAAGACTGTTAATAATCTTGGAAATGGAATGCATTATGGAATAAAGGTAGTGATAATATTAATGGAGCATTATGTAAATCAGGGTTTCCCACATTAAATTGTGCTTAGTGAGCTAAATAGCATAAACACTATGAATTAGCTTTAAAAATTTATTTTAAAAAAATCCATTGGAGTCAGCTCAAACTTTCTACACAACATACATGTAAGTGCATGTATGTGTATCAGAAAAGTTATAAAATAGAGAATTCTCTCCATTTTAATTTTAACAAAATTTGGCTTGAGACCATGTTATAGTACAGTGACTTTGACCTTGTTATGAGCAACATACTCATGTCAATTTTTATCACAATCAACTTAAACTTCCCCCTCTCTCTCTCTCTTCCTTTCCCTTTCTATTATTTTAGTCAATAGCGCGTCCTGCTATTAAAGAAACCTTGATTGGAGTTTGGGGACAATATCACAATATATTTATACTCGATCCTAATACACTGGAGGTATTATTATTAACTATTGTTATTGTTTTCATTTTACTATTATTAAGAGTAGATAATAAGGATTTACAGATTATTATTTATTTGTTTATTTTTGTGTTTGCAGTTCATTTGTGCTTTGAAATCCTCTCACAATTCAAACTGGATATCACAACTTAGGGAAGGTAATACGGAAGGTAATGTACATGTACCGTAAATCCTTAAATAGAAGCCGCATTCGAACGAGACACCTACGGTGCATGGCCTCGCCCCTATAACTGCAATGGTGCATGCCCGCACTTCAATGACTGTTTGATTATCAGCATGAAGAGAGTCTGCTCAACACTAGCTTCCTACAGTTGCACTTCCTCTTGAATACCTGTAGAAGTAGCAGCACTGCAGCACATACATGCAAGCAGCTCCAGCCCCTCCCATGCATGTAGATTGAAAGGTGTGGCATTCCATGACTGGAATGAGTGGCAGCAAGAAGACCATGTGAGAAAGAAGCTTCACTTTTTCTTTACTAATCAGCAATATATGATAAACTTGCTGACAAAAAAGTTGCTGCCTTTGTATATTTGAGATAGTATAGGTACTTTAGTACCTATAACCCAGCAAGTTGTTGCTCTAGCGCTGCACAAACGAGTGACCTCAACAATTTCAAGTAAGTATAACTCTTCATCAAGTAAGATTTAGAAAAATCTGTTCATAATTTTTGAAGGCCATGTTCTAATCTACTGAAAAATGCTACCAGCTATCTCTAAAGTGCCAACACAACAGAACTTGGCCCAACTACTCGATTTTCTTACTTTGAAGCTTCTGTACCTAGCACTTGTATTTGAGCAACACAAAACAGTTAAGAAAGACTTTTCCACGTCAAAAAGAAAGATCTAGGAGCTTAGAACACGCTGTGCTAAAGTTATTGTTTATTAAAAACAAATTTCAGTTGTACAGAATGAATGAATGAATGACAGACACACACAACAACTACCTATACCTCGCGTAGGCGAGGCCAATAAGCGCTGGGGTAGCAATAGAATTAAACTATAAATACGCAACAATAGCCTAATAGTGACTCAGTAGTCTACTGGATAATGCTTGAAGTTCCAGAAGTCAAAAGCATGAGGTTACGGGTTATATATTTTTTGGAGATCCAAATACCATTTTAGCAAATAGATGCCCGGGCTTTTATTTAAGGAAATACGGTACATATAAATCAGACCTGTACTGATCAATTTTACAATTCTAACTGTAATTAAAGGCTCAATTAGGATTACATAATAATTGTAATTGAGGCTTAAGTCTGAACTGAATGTAATTGAAATTTTTATCAAAATTGGCTTGTCATAATGTACTAACTACCAACTCAATACAGACATTGGTAAATTTACCTGCTGCATTTAATAATATATTTTATATAGTTATACTTTCTTGTTATATATTATCATTAGCTGCAGGTGTGGGGTCTGTCATTGGTAAGCTTCATTGAGAGGAAGGTTCTGCTGCTCCTGATTTCAAGTCTCATTTCACTGGCTCTCTCTCTGACTCATGGCAGTCCCCAGCCACTTCTTGTTCCCTTATTGACTCAGTTGTCAGTTACCATATACTGGGATATTTTCGCGTCGCTAAATTTTCGCGAATTTTGCATTTGTAAGATTTCACTAAATAATATTTTGGCGAATAGCTTGTAAACTCCACCACGTGGCAATGTAAATTCAGAATTTCACGATTTTTATTTTCGCGACAGAGCAAGAAAACACGAAATCCGCGAAAATTTGGCTACTCGAAAATTTCCCAGTATACGGTATCATATTCCTGGGAATTCCCAACCATTGCAATCATTACATGCTCAATGGGACATGGCCACAAATTGCCAAATTGAAACCTGCCAATCAGCAAAATTCACCAAATTACTCCCTCCAATATTACCAGCCTTACATGTACATGTACAATGTGTTGTACCCTCTTTTTCAACCCTCCATCTCTCTCATTCTTTCTATTATATGATCTTTCTTTCTATTTTTATTTTAATGCTTTAAATATATATGTTAATTCTTTATGTTTTCTCTCCCTCTGTTTCTGTTTCCATCTCCCTCCCTCTCTCTCTCTCTCTTTCCATTAGTATCCCAGTATCAGTGCTGGTCCTTCTTCCAATGTTACTGTTTCGGTTGATCTGTGGATTGTCCAATGGTGGTATTATAGTTCTATCAGGAACTCAAGCAGCTACCAAACTCTTACTAGCCAAGAGAAAGTTCTCAAGAGGTACTCTGCATACAATTGTACAATAATTGTATACATGTCCATGTATGTACATGCATTCATACATGTACATGTACATTGTAATTACATGCAATATGAATAAGATATTTTTCTATAGAAATAGTAATACCAAGTGTTTATCATTCCTGTAGTCTACTTATGTACAGTTGTACATGTACATACCGTAAATGTTCAAATAAAGGCCGGGCTTGAATAAACGCCTGGCATAGGCAGCTACAGAATCTTGAATTAACCAGGGCTCATTAATTATTCATAAGATTTGGGGGTGTGGTCAATTAATAAAATGACTAATAAGTCATTATGATAGTTCACAAAAGCTAGTTACCACACTAAAACAACTGTAAAATGGAGCTGATCATAAGTATAAACAGTTGTGGTTATAAAAAATGAATTTTAGTGATGATCTCACTCCTAATAATAACAAGACACACCTTTTGGGTGTGGTTTTGGTTGAAAACTACCAGGGCAAAGCCCTGGCTTGCCCGGGCCTATAGCCGCCTATGACGCCTGGTACTAAGAATCTTCAAGTATAGATACGCATATTTGACTTAATATAAGTACCACAATCTTTAGAGTGTCCCAAATGGCCTAACTCGTTAGGCTGAGTGCAATGAACCTGGAGGTCCGGGTTCGAATCTCATTTTTACTTTTTCTTTTTTATTTTACGCAATTTTTTTGTCCTGGAAAGAAATAAACGCCCGGGCTTTTATATGAACATTTACGGTATACATATCACCTCTGTCTTCTCTCTCTCTGTCCTCTATAGCATGGTCTCAGTATTATTTCTTAAGAGGTCACAAGAGAAGAGTCCCCTCCTGTTGTATCTTGTGACTGTAGCACTGCTTATGATAGCAATCACTTGTTATCTGGTGGTCCTGATTTCTCTGTTAGATTGTGGGACCTCTTCAAAGGAATATTGTTCCACACTATTGCAGTTCATGGTGGGTGGTCAGTAGCATTGTAACATGTCCTCCTCATATTAATGTAAGCTTTGCTCTCCCCCTCACTCTTTCTCTCTCACACCAAAGCATTCAATTGCTAATACATGTACATGTACATGTATTTGTAGTACATGTAATACCAACATGTAGTGCCCATTAAGTGTATAGTAATTAATATTCATGTACATGTAATTATTGTCACTGAAATACATGTGTATGTACATTTTCATATACCTTAAGGTTACTTTTATATGCGGGTACTATTAATTGCGAATTTTGCGTTTGGGTTAAAATCGCAATTATTAATACGCGCAATTATTAATAATGACATCATAATGCCATATAACTATTATGAATAATTACTTAATCGCAATTATTAATACCAACAAAATCTACCTCGTGCTAAAATCGCAAAATTTGGTACCCGCAATTAAAAGTCACTCTAAGGTATTGACTACTTACATGTGCATGTACATGTACATGTACATGTATAAGTTACTAATGTGCTGTAAAGTATTGTAAATATTTTTTGGTTTTCATGTTGCCTTCATTTGCTATATCATAACATAATATATCATAATATAATAAAATACAGAATATACATGTACTTATGTGTGTCTGAG